ATAAGTGATGTACAAATCCTATTTATTTTTTAATTAAAATTCGAATACACTTATTTATATGATCTTCCTTATTATAACTTATTTTATTGTTAATCGATACTGCTGCTTCTAATATCGTTTTATAGTTAACATGCCTAAAATTTCACATCGACAACGTCAAATTAAACAAATAAATAATCTTCTAAAGACACTTATGAACGAATACTCAACTAGCACGAATAAGTCTATTACTAAAGTTCTGGATAAAGAAATTAATGAACTATTCGAATTAATACAAGTCATAGAAATGGATCAATATCTTACTATATGTGAAAGAACAATTAAATCTAACAATTTTTTTCAAGTTCTTTTGCTTAATTACAATGATTATAATTTTAAGCAAATTACTAGGGTTAGTAAAGAGACATTCTGGCTTATAGAAAGTTTAATTTGCAATAATTCTGTTTTTTTAAATAATTCTAAACATTTACAAAGACCAGTTTGGCAACAATTGGCAGTAACTTTAGAGTGCTTAGGTTGTAATGGAAATGGTGCTTCTGTAGGATGATTTGCTAGACAGTGGGGCTTAGGAATTGATACTGTGGTTGAGTATACAAAACGTATAGTAACAGCTATTAATTCAATTGGAAATACATATGTACAGTGGCCTGATTCTATTGAGCGACAACAAATTAGCAGTAGAATAGAGCAATTATCTGGATTTAAAGGTTGTGTTGGATTTCTTGATGGAACCGATATTGTACTTGAATACAAACCACTAAAAGATGGGGAAACTTACTATAATAGAAAAAAGAGATATGCTCTAACTGTACAATTAATTTGTGATGATTTAAAATTCATCCGATTTGCAAACTTTGGATGGCCAGGATCTGTTACAGATTCAACTGCTTATAAATCTACTCCACTTTATCAAGAACCTACTAAATTTTTTAGTAAATATGAATATGTATTGGCAGATTGTGGTTATCAGCTTACTCCAACAACAATAATCCCTTACAAACAACCACAAGCTAATATTTATACAAATGCAATTTTTAATGAAATGCTTGCAAAAGAACGTGTCAGAATTGAACATGTTAATGGTATTTTGAAAGGAAGATTTGGATGTTTAAATGGAATTAGAACACAAATTTTATCTAAAAAACATTTAAAATTTGTTTTAGATATTATTAAAACAACAATTATTCTTTATAATTTAACATTAAAAAATAAAGATATTTGGGAAGAAAATATAAATGAAACAAATTCAAATTTAACAATTGCAAATAATTTATTAAATAATAATTTAAATGAAGAAGGTAAAAAAATGCAAACATATATACAAAATCTTGTATTTCAAAAAAATAAATTGCAATTCAAATATTTATATATAATATAGAAATAATAATTGTATTAAAGTATGCTATAATTAATTATTATTATAATGAATGCAAATATAATATAAATTGCTTTTTTAAAATTATATTTATATTTTACAAATTATTAAAAAATCTAAAGTTTCTTTAATATCTGTAAGTGATTTTCCTTGCTGTACAAGTTCTAAAAAAATATTATACTGTTGATTTTTTTTATTATTTGTTTCTTCTTTTTCATTTTTTTCTTTTTCTAGTTGAAGTTTATTTTTTTCAATTTTTAGTTTTTCTTCTACTTCATATTTTTTTAATTCAGCAATATCTTTTTCAATTGTTATTCATTCTTCTTCAATTTTAAGACTTTTTTGTTTTGTATTAAAATAGATGTCTTTAGCAGAGTTTTTTTCATCTTTGTTTTTGTTTGATACTATCAAGCATTGACGTTTAAATAAATTATTTTTTAAATTATATTTTTGCTTATTTGTATGGAATTAATTTTGTTAGATTCTTCATCTATAATTATTTATTTTATTAATAATTAAATACGTACATAGATATAAATATTACATATATAAATATAATAAATACCAGTTAAATTCTCCTTTTCTGTTTCATAATTGCAATTATTACTATTATTATTATCGATTTTTTTTAAATATTATTTATTAGTAATTATAAAATATTTTTTATTAAATAATTTAAAACAACTTATTTATGATTCAATATGATTAAATCATCATCATCATCATTCAAAGTAAATTCATCTAATATAAAAGACAATGATGTTTTTTTCAATTCATCTATTTTCTTCTATTATAATAAATATTAATTTAATTATTAAATAAACTTCAATATAATATATAATAACAAATCATATATTACCATTCTCTAATTCACTCTTATTATCTATATCATTGTTATTATTAAAATTAAATAAATTATTTCTTTGATCTTGAATATTATTGGAATTATTGTTATTTTCTAACCCTTTTTCTTTATTTATATTATCGCTACTATTATAATTGGATAAATTATTTTTTTGAACTTGAGTATCATTGGAATTATCATTATTTTCTATAAAATTTATATATATAATTAATAGATTTTACAAAATTTAAATTACATTATTACATATTTAAAATACCTTCGATATAATTTTGATCGCTCAAACCAAGTTTTCTAGATAAGTTGGTTAAACATTTTGCTTTTCACCATAGATTATATCAATTCTACTATAATATGGACATAGATCTTCTAATTTAGCTTCTATGGTATTTATTCCATTCTCATGATCTTTTTCTGTTAATCCCCATCTTGACTTTTCAGTTAATCTTCAAGTATCAATATATGTTTTTTTGTAAGTTGTCCATCGACCATTTGCAATTTTAGCATCCCAATTACTGTCTTTGCAACGCTTGTTTACAAATAAAGCCATTTGTGCATATCTGGCATTTTTTGTTACAGGTTTACCACTTATAGGAAGACCAGTCACTGCTTTTCCATCAATAATATTTCGATTTTCTGGATTTTCAATAAACATCACCATTGCAAGTTTTTGATCATTAGTAGTTTGCTTGAAAGTTCTCTTTGGAGGCATAGCAATATATAAAAAAATTTAAATAATTTGAGCGAAGGTTTAGTAAGTAATTTGAGAGAAGGTTTAGTAAATAATTTGAGCGAAGGTTTAGCAAATAATTTGAGCGAAGGTATAGTAAGTTATATAAAAAAAAATACCTTAAGTGAAGGTCCAGTAAGTAATTTGACCGAAGGTTCAATAAATAATTTGAGCGAAGGTTATAAAAAATAATTTGGGCAAAGATTCAATAAATAATTTGAGCGAAGGTTACAAAAAATAATTTGGGCGAAGATTCAATAAATAATTTGAGCAAAGGTTTAGTAAGTAATTTGAGAGAAGGTTTAGTAAATAATTTGAGTGAAGGTTTAGTAAATAATTTGAGCAAAGGTATAGTAAGTTATATAAAAAAAAATACCTTAAGTGAAGGTCCAGCAAGTAATTTGACCGAAGGTTCAATAAATAATTTGAGCGAAGGTTATAAAAAATAATTTGGGCGAAGATTCAATAAATAATTTGAGCGAAGGTTATAAAAAATAATTTGGGCGAAGATTCAATAAATGATTTGAGAGAAGGTTATAAAAAATAATTTGGGCGAAGATTCAATAAATGATTTGAGCGAAGGTTATAAAAAATAATTTGGGCGAAGATTCAATAAATAATTTGAGTGAAGGTTATAAAAAATAATTTGATCGAAGGTTATAAAATAATTTGAGCGAAGGTTAAAAAATAATTTAAGCGAAGTTATAAAAAATAATTTAAGCGAAGTTATAAAAAATAATTTGAGCGAAGGTTTAGTAAGTCATAAAAAAAAAAATACCTTAAGTGAAGGTTCAGTAAGTAATTTAGACAAAGGTTCAATAAATAATTCGAGCGAAAGTTCAGTAAATAATTTGAGCGAAAAGTTTTATTATTCTGTATTTTGATCTGCATAATAAAAAAATTTTTACTTATTTCGTCAAATGGGAGTCTCTAAACACTCCCATTTCATTTTCCGATTGATACATAAATAAGATTTTTAAACTCTTATTTATTTCCGAAATACACTATTTTTTTTTTAATTCTGAAACCCCTTATTTGGAGATCTCCATTTGCTAGATCACTTATTTCAAAATAAATATGTTATGTCTTCAATTTCAATTAAAATTAGATTTCCGCATTTTAACTTTGAAACCCCTAATTGGCTGCAATAACTCTATAGTATTTGCTTACAAATAAACTTTTTGGGCTGGGCGGAGTGTAAGTCCTTTCCATGGTCTACTAATTTGGGTCGATGTCCGGCTCCCACCCCTGAATTATATAAATCTAT